GATGAGGAGAGGAAAAACAAAACAGGAAGTCAAATTGCAGTTAAAAAGTAAATACATGGAATAGGGTCTTTTGGGAGAACTAGACATGTTATCACCATATAAAAAGTTAAGCATATATGTAATTCTTTGAGACTGGAGTTATTATTTGGTTTTAAAACTGCACCTGAATGCAAGGATTGTCAGTCTAAATTTGTATGATCTCTGTGCAGAATCTATTTTGAATATATGAAATTTGCTAGTGGTGACAAGTATTTGATCATAATGTTATTTTAAACTTGGACGCATCAGCTTCCAAAACTTAGGACTCTTGACAGATATTTAAATATTTAAAACACCCTTTATAAGATTACTAAATCCAGCAGTTCAACTATATAAACAATGCTAGGGATAATGAACCAGAAAATACTCAAAGTGGCATATCCTCTCCATAAATATTTCTCTCTTATTTCAACATTCACCAGAACGAATCACAAGAAAAGTAACTCCCAAATGTTTATTTGTTTTAACTCACTAGTTTACTGATGATCTAAGCTTTCAGGGAAACCCATGAAGGGTTTCCACAAGGTGGCAGGAGCTAACTGTTCTATATGAGACCATTACGTGATCTAGAGGAAAATAAAGGTAATAAACTCATTTTGCTAGTGGCATGCATTCGGATGATAAGTCAGTCAGGGCAAAATTTCAAAACCCTCCTTTGTGCTTCTTGAACTTGTGAATAATTCTGGTAAATGAACAGGATTATGTCCTCAAGAATCTTACTTCCAGACAGAAAATTCAAGCATTCTTAATTTGTCAGCAAAACAGGACCTTAATTTTCAATAAGTGGTGGTAATTTGCTTGTAATGTGCATTGTCACTGTAAATGGAGATCGGGGTGATTCCATTCAGGAACTTGGTGATAATTGACATTCATAGTTTAATAAATTGGCAGTGAGCATCTCCAACTTGCAAATTCACACTGACACTGTGGGAATGCTGATCATGAGGTGGGACACTGGGCTGAGGAACTGCAGAAGCAGAGGAATTCAGTGAGATACAGAGATTTTACTTTGGAAACTGAAGAATCAAAACATCATTAAACGTGTCAGAGTTGGGGGATTATTGGCAATTATTGAAATAGTTTATCTTAACTAGTGAGACAATGTTGGCTAGTATATAGAACATAAGGCTGAAATTTTGTTTTTCTTTTCCCAATGCTCCAATCTTTATTTAGGCTGATGGATTGCTTATTCCACTTTTCTTGCTTTTGTTTCCATGTACATGTTGATGGGCCAGTGCTTTCTTGAAATATTCTGTGATCAGAATGGAAAGCATAGCAAATGAGCAAGCAATCAAGTATGTCTCCTCAAAAGCATGATTTGAGACCTGTGGTTATATGCTTGTTAAACCTTACACTTTGAGTTCCAAGTTTCATTTTTAAAAAAACCTCCCTGGCCTGCCTTAGAAATCCATGGACTGGAGGGTTTTAATTGGCAGAAGTAACATTGAAAGAAACAGTGATAAGATGAAGTGATTTTCTCTGATTCAGTGGACCACAAAGTGTTGGTTTGAGACTTGTGATTCTTTTGATTTGTGTTTAGAGATGTTATATTAAATCAGCTAATGTCCATTTTTGGTTTTTGAGTGGGGGGACAAATATGTATATTAACCAGGTATCTTTGGGAATGTGAACAGTGCTGTTTATGTGGACAGACAGTGCAATTCAGTAGGGCTAAGGTGAAACAGATTCAACAGAAACAATGCAATTCAGTAGAACTAGGTGAAACAGCTGCCTAAGATTAGGTAGCTTTCTTAATCAGTAGACAGATACTAGGAGTAAAAATAATTCAATTCTTTTAAGAAATTTAAAATTCCATGCCATTTGGTGTCAATTGCTTGTCATTATGATGTAGAGAAAGTTTCTAAGCCTGTGTTATGGGGATATCTGTAATAGCCATATAAGGTGAATGAAGTGAAAATCCTTCCACGCCTGTTATGAAATAGTATTGATGAAAGGAACTTGCTACACAATTGATTTTCAATGTTTTTGACTTGCAGACCTGTTGCCACTGGGGTGTTGTCCAGTAAAATACCTGCACCTCACTAGTGACAGGGATGATGGGATGAGATGGAGATGAGCGTTCTCAGCAGCTGCCACAAAGAAGTAGCATAAACCATTGTCCTGCCAAAATATGTGAGCTTCAGAACATGTATTTTTATACCCCTATTTGCAGGAATGCTTGAAATTTAGGAAAATCTTTGGGTTTAGAGCTAACCTGAGTAATTTTAGTGGCTGCAGTCAGATGATACTTAGAGTTTTAAGTGAAAATTTTGTGATTTTCAATGGTTACACCTTTCATTTGCCTCTAATTTGAAAGAAATTCTAGTTTTTACATAAACATCTTAAAATAATGATAGAAAGTAAATGATTATCAAGGATTCAGCATTTGATGAATGTACTAGTGAAAGTCGTTCAGTGCAGTTGAAAAGGTGCACTATTTACAGAGTAATGTACCAGTAGGGTCAGGACTCTCAGCTGTGGATTTTTAAGTAATTGTTGCTTATTGAAACAAGCCTGGCTATATCTGTCATTTTTTCTGTTTGAAATTTTCAGTCACACAAGTGAGGTAGATGCCTCATTTCCATTGCAACTCAGAAGCAGTGAGTCACTTACACTGATGTGAAATACTTTAAAAAAACCCTACATACCAATATGTAAATATGATGAAAAAAATCAATTTCACACTTTAAGATTGAAGATCATGTATTACTGTGGTCTCTGTGGTCAGCAGTGTCAAGTGTAGTCCCAACATGCTGTGCAGACATGGATGTTAATGTGGCTTGCAGAGAATTTGCTGCTGCTGCCTCTTCAGACCACTGTGTCAGGGTAAAGTTTGAATTTTATGTTCCTTTATGCACAAAAAGTCAGCAATCATGATAATACCAGGGTTAGAAAGAGTAGTGCAAGAAATTAATTTCGCCACACAGCCAATACAGAAAATGGCACTGGAGTGTATATTGGCATATGTCCTTTTGAGCAGAGGAGTAGCTTTCCAGAGAATGGTGGGTGCTGGGGGATGCTGTTTCTCAGCAGTGGCAAATGATCATGAGAGGTACCTGCTTTGTGGTGTACTTAAAATTGTTATACTGAAGTGGGAGGCTTAGTAAAGATTATTGAATAGTTTGGCAATTGATGGCAATTGTATAACTCCAAATTAATCACAGTATTACTAGTGGAAACAGGTGGGAGGTGAAGAGGATGGCACAGGGAATGTGCCCCTCCATCATGGGTATCTTCTTCCAGGAAACCCAGAGTCTTCCCTCCCTATCTGCCAAACCCTGTCTCAAATGCCTCGACTGTTTGCTGACTTGGGTTCACTCAGGGACAATTGGAGCTGCCCCATGGACCAGATTATCTGCTGAAGTGCTTAGTGCCCTCTCTTCTCCCTGACCAGCTTGGGAATGCAGGGCATCACTAGCCTCTGCTAAATGCCCAACTCAAGAAAGAGTCCAGCCAGACAAATGGGCAAATGTGGGAATCCTGGAAGGTCTGGGACCCTGGCAGGGGTCAGGAACCCCCCTGGACAGAGCCCCCAGAGACACTGGCTGTGATCTCTGCCCATGGAAAAGAGTTTTCAATTTTACAGGATGAATTACAAGCTCTGAGTGTTTGATATAAGTAATAATTAAGTGTGGCACGGGTGCAAAAGTAAAATTTTAGGATTCTAAATGAGGGGTCCAAAGGGGACAAGATGGAGGAAATTGGGTGTGTCTTGTCCTTTTTCTCCTTCTTCATGCCCTCCATGTTTCACTGTGGTGTTGGCATTTTTCTGTTGGTTCAGGCTGGGGACACACTGTCCAACGTAGGTGACAGATATTGGCACGTTATTGTAAATGCAGCCCAGGGAGTTTCTGGTATTTAATGTTTGTCACATCCCACTGAGGGCAGAGCCCCACACGCTGCCCTGCAGGACAGAGCTGGGCAGGGCAGCAGAACATGTGAGAGATAAACAGAATAAACAACCTGGAAACCAGCACAGACCAATTATGGCTTCTGCTTTGGCAGGGGGGCTGACAGACAGAGACTTTCTACAATCTCAGAATCATCTCAGTTCCACAGATTCTGACAGGCAAATAGATACTGCCTGCTTAGTAACTAAGCCGAGAGTTCTGTACATCCCTCCAAAGTCTGATTTGAGGGATTTTGAGGTCTGGAGAGTTGGCTGTGCAGCATGCAGGGCCTTACAAAGAAAAAGTGCAGGGATTTCTTTATTATCAACTTCTTGGAAACACCTTGCTAAAATGTAGCATTTAAAAATACATATTGATAGAACCTGGCGTCATCTCAAATCTTAATAGTATGTCTCTGCATGGTTTTGTGGTCACCTGAGGGTTCTTCCAATAAAGCAGAGAGCAATATCAGAGGGAAGGTAGGATAGCATGGAGCTCTGTGTGTGCTAGTTTAACTTGCATGGAATAAGAGGAGGTTAGATCATGCAGAGTGGGGCTGGGCTGGTGCATTTAGAGTTCCTGGTACTTCATTTGTTGGTTTAAATCAGGCTGCTGTGTCTGGGAGCTACCAAAATTACTGAGTCTCTGGGGCCAGTCACTGACAATTGGTGTTGATGAGACAAGGACATGTCCTGGACATTCCTTCTAGAGGCAAGGACTGGTTTGGCTGCAGTAACAACTATCCCTGTGCTAGGAGGTTGCAAATCCTGTCTGTGGATTGCTTTTAGAGCAAGCACTGGATGTTGAAAACAGTACTTTCTCTTGGGAAATGATTATTCAATTAACTGGGTATTTATTCTGATAATAAGTTTTGTTGTTGTTGAAAGTGAAAACTAGTTGGGGATAAGATGTGCTTTTTAGAGGGCTTGTTCTTGGGTTTTACAAGAGTGAGGGAGGCAGGGGAGGATGAGCTTACTGCTTTTGGTGCTTGGGGTAGAATTTTTGCCCTGTTTTCTTTCTTTCCTTAAAGAAGCTGTCATTGAAAATGGGAGTCCTTGGGAAAGTGTGGGGAATACAAGAAGTACAGCACTGAGAAGTAGAGTCACAGTGCAGAAGTAAGGCCTCAGTACTGAGACCATGTTACCTGCGTTTTCTCTAAAGTATCTAGTGTTAACCAGCCCATTTAGTATCTAGACTGTTTAACATTCTCCCCAACCCTCCCTCCACTCTCTGGTAGAAAAAGTAACATTAAAAAGAAAAACTAATAGAACAATCAGTGTGCTGAAGATTTGCATAGGTATCTGTTGACAGGGAGTTTGTGTCTTTGTGGTTTATATACTGCATTGGTTTATAAGTGATGCTGTTAAATTCACAGGCCACATGTTCACCCAAGGAGAAGATCAAATTGTAATACTGGAATCACTGTAATATAAATGTAAATGTTGGAGAAGATGTTGAATAACACCAAATCATGTGTTACTACAGTCTCTTGCTTCTAGAGGAACACACACTTGCTCAGGTATTTTCAGCACCAAAGCTAAAAGTTGCTTTGTTCTCCTGCCTGTTCCTGGGTTGTACCACACAGGGTCCCAAAGAGCAGCAGTTGTGATCAGCTATTTGAGAGATGCAGGGATGCAGCTGATGACTTCTCTAGAGTTTAACAACAGCATCTGGGAGTTTTTTGGTCTCATGGGCCGTTGTACTGCTCTGTTGCAGTTCAGAATGCAGTGGTGGAAAAGTTATCAATGGGTCAGCTCTGCAGCAGCTGCACTCCACAGCATGATGTTTTTATGTAAGTAGCTCTTACTGCTAACCTGTGATTAACTTAGCTTGTATGACTGGCAAGCCAGTGTTGTACCCTGACAAGTATAGTGGCTCTGCACATAGAGCGAGGATGAAGTTGGGATCCATAAAGCTCCTTTGGTAAAGAGTAACCCATCTTAAACTTGTTCTTTCCATCAGTTAAAAACAAGCAAAAAAAAAAAAAAAAACCAAAGCCTTGTATATATTAATGCTGTTACTGTGTTGTATTTGTTTGGGCAGCTATCTGACATGGAGATTGGAATCTGTGTTCCTTGCATTCATGCTGGAGTGGCAGGAAGAGACCCACCCTCTTCTATGGTGTCCCACACATGTATTTTAGACTCAAATGAAATCCTGTATGATTTTTCTTGATGAAGAGATCTGCTACATTTCTATGTGCAGTATCACTTTGCATACTTCATTAACTTCTGGTGATTAAACTAGAATGTAGAAAAATTAATTTGTTTGGCGGACTTTTTTATGGGGGGAGTTGTATTTTTGAAGTAAAATACGTATTTTGACTTTTGGTAATCTGTTTTGTATTCTCTTACAGTAAAGTGAAGTGTTGTATAGTAAAAACTTCTTTTAACCCTGAGTCCCACACAAACACTGTGGAAGAAACCATAGTGGACCAGAGGATAAAATAACACCTTTTTTTTTTTAATTGAATGAGAAGAATTTCTCATTTAGTATATTGTCAAAACATAGAGAAGCTTTTAGAGGAGACCATGTAATAGTCACTGATTCACACCTGGCTTTGGTGTCAGGTCATTAGACAAGAGCAGACATCATCACAAGGGATGTTAAGCAGGTATTTTGCTCTGGTATGAGAAACAGTAAGCAGCACTTCCTGCTGGAGATGAAATTACACTGTTTTTTTCAATGGGTTTGCAATTTGCATATGTTGCTTTTGCAGAAGCACCTTGAGTTCAATTTAGTTGCAGTTACCCAGAGGAATTAGTTGTTGGTAAAACAAAAGAACAGCTAAAGATTGGGTGGTATCTCAGAAATTCATAGGTTTAGTTGAAAAAAAATTTTTTTTTTGGCTGGATTTTCATGTTTTCTACTTTCATGTATTTATAGGATGCATTCATGCTGGCATAACCCCCCTTCCTCATGTTTCTAGGGAGGAGTCCTCTGTCCTTGCTCACAGCTGTGGTGGCCTTGGCTGGGGCCAGCCATCCTTCTGCAGCTCTGCTTCCCAGGGATGGCTGTGCCAGGCCAGCTGTTTCCAAAACCATGATGTGTGCTGCTGTACCCCTGAAAACACCCTGGGGCAGGGTGGGTCCCCTCTGCCAGAGGGCAGGGGTGCCAGGGAGGCTGTGGAGATGGGAGAGCAGCCGTAGGTTAAAGCAGCATAAGGACAGCTAAAGGTCAGGCAGGGTTTGCCCTTAAGTACAACTGAATGAAAATTAGTTCCCTGCTGCTTTTGCTGCCCTGCTCACTTTTCCAGCAAGCATGTTTATGGAGGAAAATATAACCTGAATATGCCAGGAATGGGATGGCAACCTACCTGCAGGGACCTGACCTCTCCTCCATGCTTGCTCCCTCTTAGTGCTAGCACAGAGACTGAGCTCATCTCCTGCTGTGGCTGGCACAGCTGCCAGCTGTCCACAGGTGCAGACAAAATATATTTCTTTAAGTCACTTCTCTGTTTTCTGAATCTTGCCCACTTTGTTCTCCAACTTTTTCCAGAAGTCTGTTGGATTTTTGGACCTAAAAGGAAATCTAAAGGTCACAGGTTACATCCCCAAACAAAGCAAAACTTCAGAATTCTGGCAAAAGTGACATCAGTGGGAGCAAGCTCCAGAAATCTGAGCTCTAGTTCAGGTGCTCAAGCTTCAATGGCATTTGATCACTGTCTTAATATACAATAGGTGCCCAACTTGGGCTTTCTAATGTGCAAGCTAATACTGAAACCTGAAGAAAATTGCAAATGTATCCTGAAAGCAGAACTCAAGCTGCTGTAATGGTTTTTTAGCATTTCATTAAAATAAGTTAAATTTGAAAGATTTATTTTTACATACATTAGGATTTTAATTCAGTGCAGTACTTAGTGAATGAGTTGTGAAACTGGAAGGAGTGTGGGGTTTTTTTCTCTTGCAGAAAAGATGACAAGATTTGGCCCAAACACTGGAGGATTCTTTTAAAAATGATTATACATACTCTAAAGGAAAATTCAAATAAGCAGTTGTGTGTAGTGGCTGTTTCTAATTGGGCTTGATGTTTTATCACAATTAGTTTTCCATTTAGGAGGGAGTATAGGAACTATAAATCTTGATGCAAATTAGCAGAGTGAAAGAGTTTTCTACTCTGCTTTGAGTCTTTGCACCTCTTTTAAGTATATGTTTAGAAAATATTGCAGTAGTACATCTAGGAAGAAAACTGGGTTGTTTTGGAAATCTTGTTTCTGATAGAACTAGAAAATAGAGAAGATTATACTAATGGAAGTTTTTTCTTAAGACTTTGGATTGCATTTTAACCTCATGGAGAACAGCTGTCATTCTTAAAACTAGACAAAAATCTCCTAATTTTAAGAAACTTTGATACAGTAAATGTGTTGATTTTTTTTTTTTTTTTTGCTACAAGTAATATGTGAATTTATATTGTGAGAATCAATTTCTGCACCTGTAAATTTGCAGGTAACTTGTTCTCATAGTTCTAAAAAGGGGGCAACAGTAATAGGATTTTATTCTGCCACATTGTATGTAGTATCTGAGTACCTTCCACCTATAGCAGAGAAGAACTGGGATTTAACTTCTCAGGATAACAGTGTGGGGGAGGGATAAGAAGAGACAGCATGCTGCTTGTTGGTAGGATTTTTGGCTTGGGTATTTCACTCATTATTTCAATTTGATGCTTGTACCTGAAGTTTTTCTGATGTTTGAGGTGTGTGCAGTAGGTAACAGGGCAGTGGCTTTCTCTGATGGAAATGTGCTGTTAATGTACTGAATAGCCCAGAAAGCACTGCTGTGCACATGTGCATATATGAAATTATTGGATACAACGTCTAAGAAGTGCTGAGATCCAGGAATCGTAAAAATGGTGATTCTGCTATTTCTGAATACACAGATTGTCAATGTTTTCTGGAGTGTTTTATCAGTTAATGTGTCTGTTTAGTGTTATGTTAATTGTGTGGTATTGCAGCATTATATAAGCATTGGATTGGGAGATTGCATCTGTTTTGAGGTGAATAGTGACTTTGTTCAGATTTAGTAATTAAAATTGTATTTATACATGGAGTTGGAATAAAATGTGGAGCTTCAATAGAGATGCTACTTTATTAGTATTGCTGCAATACTGTCTATGTATATGTGACCTCAGTTCAGGTCTGAATTTTACTGGCAGTGGGGTTACAGTAGTAGACTGAAATTGCAGATTTGATTGGAGAATTGTTTGGATGTCTTCACTGATAGTCACTTTCAGGTTAATTTTTGGAGTGTTTTAAGCATACTCTTAAGATATGTTTGTTTCATTAATTTCATTGTTTGCTGGCTCACAACACAGCTGTGATCTGCTCTATTTCCTTGCTATAGAGTAGGGGAAAGCATTCACCCAGGCAAGATTAATCAGTGTTACTTTTTCTGTCTTCTTTGGCCAGATCTTTTCCATCCTGGTCACTTACTAAGTGATTTTAGTGCTCATAAAGTACCTGAGCAACAAGCCAGAAGTCATCATGTCATGTCAGTTCAGGAGAAGATAGATAAATTGATGGAGTGAGTAAATGAGTGATCAAACTACCTCTGGCTTGGCTTGTTTTAAATAAATATGGAGACAGTTTGGTGCCTCATCTCCACCTGCCATTAATGTAGGGAATGAGAGGTGAGAAATTGTCACATGGACATTTATTTTGACAACAGTAGTTTAAGCAACACAAAACATCAAGTTAGTTTTAAAGCAGTAACTGCTTGACTGAAAGTGCTTGGTTATCTACGTGTGTTCATACCCACACTTTTACTGCTTGCTGCTTCCTTCCTTATGCCTAGTTTTTTATCTAGTAGCTAATGGATGATCTCTTTTGACCATATTCAAGCTTTAAAACTATGTGTATCTCCCAGCAAGAAAAAAGCTGATACAGTTTAAAGTAGTGGGTTTTGAATTTTTCCAAAATTACTTTAATGACATTAAAACATTGTCCTGTAGATGATGTGAGTGCCTGAAAGAATGAGTGTAAGCCTCCCAACAGACTCATCTTCTTAGTGCAGACCTGTAGGAAGCAGTGAGTGCAGTGTTAAAAGCTGTCCGTGTCCTGCTGTATCTGTGCTGCAGTGGGAGACCTCTGGACAGGGTAATAACACCAGTCAGCAAAGATAATGACAGAAGTCTGACTGCTTGGTGGTGTTAAGCACAAACTGTTTAGCTTTGAAAAGAATGGTGGCATAACATGGCTTGAACGGTTCTGGCTGTGAAATCCTACTGAAATGGTAAACTTTGATTTTAAAATGTACTTGTTCTTTTCTTGACCTCAGTCAAGGAGACTTAGGAGAGACAAATGAGCAGAGAGTAATTATTTGAAGTACAAGCAGATGCTACTCTTGTTTCTCAAGGAAGTTTCTTGCGTAGAAAGGCAGGGTTAAAGAAATGGAGCTTTTTGTACTGAAAACAATGCAATACTTTAGCCTGTTTTTCCAGCTTTTTCTTCGTATGACCTGTCATCTTAAGGATGAAGTGCCTTTAATAATAAAAAACTGAAGTGGGCTGGTAGAGGAGGGTCTTTCAGAATAATTTAAAGTCGTTTGCAAATTAAATAATAGCAGGTTACTTAAAAAGATGTGAGAAAGTTTTATTTTGTTACCAAGTCAGGATAGATTTAATATGTACCTTAGTTGTTAAAGATATGCTTTAAGTGATTTGTTAGTTAACCTCATAACAATGGTCAATTATATTTATTTCCTATTAGAAGTATTTCTTCTAAGGAAAAAAAAAAAAGATGCTTCTGTTTCTGCTTTCTGTTCCTGTTTTTGATGTTGCAGAAATAAATTGTCCTTG